GATCACATAGTAACATATCAACATATGCAAATCCTGTTGACATCATTGTTATAGTATTTCATTTGTCTGTCTCATTATCTGTAGCACGTATGGAATATGCTATTTTTACTATAATCCCAGCAATAGATCAAAATACATGACCTAAGTTTTTAAATACACCAGAAGGATATTTTTCTGAGTATTCAGTAGTAAAATATTTATGAGTGGATTTAAAGTGTGTGGTGATCATTTATTTATTGTTGTATTTATGGTGTGTCTGTGTGTTCTTGTATGTGTCAACACACATACAAGAGCACACACGTGCAGACCAAAGAATTGCCTAGAGTGTTGGTTCTCACTCTCTGCCTTTGTTGTTTGCCACAGGGATTATACCATGCTACCTCACACAAAGGCTTCCAGGCATTCTTATTTCCACCTCCAGCTGACTAGAGGGACATGGGGATTGCAGACAGGACTACATGGCCTACCTTGGTGTGGGTTCTGGAAATTCAGATTCAAGTGGTCATGTGCTTGTGGGGCTAGTACCCTACCCACCACACCATCATTCCGTCCTGTGCCTTGACTCTTCAGAGGGATATTTTCACTACCTTTGGATAAAGCTGTTGTTAGTATATAGGCGACATTTAAAATTTTCATCTCTTGCACATAAATCTTTTGTGGGATATATTGCCGTTGGTGATTTATCCCTGTTCATTACAGTTCTGAAGGGAAATTCATGATGAATATGTGAGTGGAGGCAATTGTATGTTTGGTATTACCTAGCTATGGCTATTTCCTGCTAATGAATTCTGAGGATAAAGACTGATTTTTTTTTAAGAATGATTACCGTGTTCATTTCCTAGTAACATACCTTGCAAGTTATAATTAAAATGTTCAGCTAAAATAAACCTCTGCTCTTCTATTAAATTTATGAGCTAAAGAGAATATTTCTACATATATTTGCTGACAAGAATAGTTTTAGGGCAGTGTTTTGGTGATTTTCTAATATTGCATTGAGACTTAGTTGTCTCAGGACTCCAGGGATATTTGACAATGCTGTTTACTTATCAACCATTTTCTTTTTAAAAGAGAGCCTCATAAATAATAAAGTGCTATTTTTATAATTACTTAATGTCTAACACAAGACATTACTATGACCCTACAGGATAATATCCAGTGACAATAAAAGTCTAAGAGAGGTGGGGGATACAACATTTTCCCAAAATCACTTCCCTCAAGCCTTACTGTAAAGAATTACATAATCTCCAGACCAGTGAAATGAGCAAAGATGGGAAGACTTAAGGTATTGTGAAAAAGAGCAGCAACTTCAAAATAAACTATAAATGCTACAGAAAACTGAAGGCAATGTTGATTTATAGCATTAAGGCAAAGATAATAACTAGTGGGTTTTAGCCTGAGAATAGTATATAAGAAGTGTGTAAAGCTGTAAATGAACTCATGGATTTAAAGGTTCTCACAAGCCTTATTTAGTGAGAGATTGGAAATTTTCTATAAAAACATGTACTATTATAAGACTAAGTCTGTGTGAAAATTTGTTTAGCTACCATTCTAAAGAGAAAATTAAAATATTTCTAGGATATTAAGGTAAAAAATGAAATACTTCTACAGAACTAGAAGTCAAAGAGTTATATAACACTTTATAGCCTACATAAAATAATGTGTTTAGACAGTCACAATTAATCTGAATGTGGTTATTTTCCACGAAGATAGAAATTTTTTAGATGAGATCAAAATATAGACACAACTCAAGTTTGTTTACAGGTTGAATCAGGTGGACAATCCTCATCTCCAATTCCAATGCCCCGTTTTACCTCCAGCTTTGCAGGTGACAGTCTGATGTGGCCTCTCCTTCCCTCTGCCCCCATATCAGAGGTCTATACAGATTCTCCTGGTACACCCAGCTTCCCTCCCTCCTGTGGACCCTCTCAGACCTCCCCTTCTAGCCCATTGTCATCACTTAGTGTTAAGTCCCAACATCTAGAAACAAGTTCTACCCTGGGTTCCCTATGACCACACCTGGTAGAATCTTGGAAGCATTTCCTACTAAGCAACCGATAGCCACCACACTCTACTAAGATCCATAAAGGGTAACAGAAATCAAGGGAAAAGAAAAAACACACAACAAACACAATCCTACACAGCACCTAGAATTATAATCATCCCAAATCCAGATGCCTAGATACCAACATAAAAACACAGTAACATCAAGGACACTATGTCTTCACTAGGGTCCAACAATCCTACTATGGTAAGCCCTGAGAATTAAAACAGCCGAAGCACAAGACAAGGGCTTCCGAATAGCTATGATGAATACGATCAAAGACCTTAAGAGGAAATGATTAAATCTGTTAATAAAACCAATGAATACACAAATGAATAGTGGAATGAAGAAAAATGTTCAATAAACTAAATGGGAATGAAATCAATAAGAAAACCCAGACTGAAGAAACAGTGGAGGTGGAAGAAAGAATCTTGGGCATTGAAGACAAAATAGAAGAAATGGATACACCAGTAAAAAAATACATTATATCTAAAAACACTCACCCAAAAATCTGGGACACTATGAAAACTAACAAATCTACAAAGATCTGGAAAGCCACTAAAGGTTTCAGAGCAAAGATTGGCCAGTAATAATACTATTGAGTATGTAAAAGAGTATTCTCCTATCTGGTTGTTGTCTGCAGCGGGAGGTGGTGGGGTGCTTGAATTACTATACATGGGGTCCCCTCTACATTCAGAGAGCAGTGCCTTTCTCGATTGTCACTCTTTTTCTTGACACATGGTCTTTCGCAGAACCTGGAGTGCTGCTAACTGGCAAGGTTGGATAGCCAGAGAACTCCCAGGGATCTTCTTGCGTGACCCCCCTTTCTCTCCCCGCCATCGCCCCCATCCTTCAATCTTCCCCTAACATTGGGCTTACTTAAATCCTTTTTCAGAATTTAGCTACTTAGATAGGTCTGGTCCAGGGAAGGCAGTTTCCCTGTGGTAAAGTCAACTATGCCACATAGCAAACCTAATAAAGGGACTGACCTCTGTTCCTAATAACTTCCACACTCCCGTAGGAGGTTATAGAAAGGGCTGGGAATATATAGTAATAGTAATGACCAGATGTTAACTTGAGTTTATGGGGCATACAGAAGCATCACTTTGTAAGAATTACTTTGATAGATTGAGTTACTTGTGTCTATCTTGAACTCTGGAGGATTTTTTTTTTTGTCCAGAGAAACATCTAAATGGTGGCACTGAATTATATTCAAGTCAAGTGCTAAGGGTTCTTAGAATACCCATGTACATTATAACCCCTCAATGGCAGACAACATTTTCCAAACACATCTGTTCAAATTTGACTGTACACAGCACTGAAGGACTGTAGTTACAGGAGAAAATTTGCCCTGAGTTATAATTTGAAAAGGAGAGCATGAAAAATTATTCAGTCAGGGGAACCTTGTGGCAATATTTGTTTGTGATCTAACAAATAAAGCATGACTGAAGATCAGAGTGTTGAGCTAGTCACACTAGTTAGTCATAGACACCAGGCAGTGGTGGCACACACCTTTAATACCAGAACTAGGGAGGCAAAGGCAGGTGGATCTCTTAGTTCAAGGCCACTCCTGGCTACAGGAGATTGAATCAGTCCAAAAAAGAAACCGAGTCAAGCAGTGGTGGCTCACACCTTTAATCCCAGTACCTGGGAGTCACACACCTTTAATCCAGCACTAGGGAGGTAGAGACTGGAGTGAAATGGCTGGGAGGGGAGAGGAATATAAGGCAGGAGACAGGAGCTCATTGCATTCAGTCTGAGGCTTCATAGGGACAGGATCTCCCCTTTGGTCTGAGGATTCAGTGGAGGTAAGAGATCTCTCTTGTGGCTGGCTCCTTTACTTCTCTGACTTTTTTTTTTTTTGGTTTTTACCAGGCAGGGTTTCTCTGTATTGTTTTGGAGGCTGTCAGTCCAGCCTGGCCTCGAACTCACAGAGATCCGCCTGCCTCTGCCTCCCGAGTGCTGGGATTAAAGGCGTGGGCCACCACCGCCCGGCTACTTCTCTGACTTTTCAGCACTTAAACGCAGATATCTGACTCCAGGTTTTTATTATTAAGACCGATTAGAATTTGTGTTACAGAATCTGGGAGTGTTTGGCATTTGTGAGGGGAATAAGCAAAGACGCTTTGCTGTGGATCAAGCAGTTTGAAGGAATAAGGTATTTCATAAAAAAATAGGGACTTTGGAAAGTCTGCGTCCCCTGGGAGCTTATTGATGTCGGTTATATCCTTTTAGTTAATTAAGGTACACAAGGTTTCAGAGTTTATTTCTTTGAACTAGTTTAAATAGAATGAAGTAGAGTGAGACTTTTTCCTCTGAGATTGAGGCAAAAAAAAAAAGAAATCTTTTTTCCCTTTAAGAAACTTATATTTTGTTCCTATGGCCTTTGTATAAATGTGGTTTCAAAAATATGCTGAGGTAATGAGAAAATTTAAATCCTAAGAGAAAAGCTGTATTCATTCATGGGGCTATGTAATTCGGAATTAGAGAAAATAAGTAGAAAGAAAAGAGAGAGTCAGGGCTCTTGGATCAGCTTTAGTCCCATAGAGGTAGCTGGTATGCTTCTAGTAGGAGAACCAGAACAGAGAGAGAGAGGAAGGGAGGTGAAGCTGTGAACAGGTTCATTTCTAAAACCCTTCCCCACGCACTATCCAAGCTGCATATACGATAGCATACCTTATTTTTCTATTAGTGTTTTGCATCTTGATAGGTTCCTGGCAATCAAGGCCCAATAAATGTATCTTGAACATTTAAATGTATATCACTGATTAAAGATTTCATTCATTAAAAGACTGAGAAGACGTCATTCATTTCCGTCGGTCCTCGGGGTTCACAGCTCCGGCTTCGTCACCACCATCCCTCCGCTGGTGACGCCCCCGCAAAGGCTTCACCTTCGCCGAGGCCTCCGCTCCAGTGACTGGATTATTGTCTTTCAGTGGGTCTTTCCGGCTCACCGCAACCATTGACACCATGTCGAGTTATTCTAGCGACCGAGACCGCGGCCGGGATCGAGGATTTGGTGCACCAAGATTCGGAGGAATTAGAACACGACCACTCTCTGGAAAGAAGTTTGGAAATCCTGGGGAGAAACTAGCTAAGAAGACGTGGAATCTTGATGAGCTGCCCAAATTTGAGAAGAATTTTTATCAGGAACACTCTGATTCTGCAAGGTGCACCACACAAGAGGTAGATACATATAGAAGAAGCAAGGAAATTATAGTTCGGGGTCACAACTGTCCAAAACCTGTTCTGAATTTTTATGAAGCAAACTTCCCTGCAACTGTCATGGATGTGATTGCAAGGCAGAACTTCACTGAACCCACTGCTATTCAAGCTCAGGGCTGGCCGTTTGCTCTCAGTGGATTGGATATGGTTGGAGTAGCTCAGACTGGACCTGGGAAAACATTATCTTATTTGCCGCCTGCCATTGTCCACATAAATCATCAGCCATTGCTAGAGAGAGGTGACGGGCCTATTTGCTTGGTGCTGTTACCAACACGGGAACTGGCCCAACAAGTGCAGCAAGTTGATGCTGAGTACTGTAGAGCCTATGCCCTGAAGTCTACTTGCATCTATGGTGGCGCTCCCAAGGGACCACAGATTCGTGATTTGGAAAGAGGTGTGGAAATCTGTATTGCGACACCTGTAAGACTGATTGACTTTTTGGAGTGTAGGAAAACCAACCTGAGAAGAACAACTTACCTTGTCCTTGATGAAGCTGATAGAATGCTTGATATGGGATTTGAACCCCAATATGTTTTGGGGGGATTTTCTTTCATTTTGGTGTTTTATTTTTACAGAAAAACTAAAGTTGACTACTTGCCATTCTTTGATTTAGGACTTAGGAGAGGAAATCCGAAGGCCCTTAAGATGATCTGTCTTTAAGAATTTAGAGGCAGTGGATTTTATAAACGTGTCAGTAACTTTCAGCATCAAGGATAACATGGTGACTGTTCTCTTTTGCAAAACAGTTTAAGTGCTGGCATACTTTATTCTTAACCAAAATGCACAAAGTTGACTTAGCCCAAGAGCTGCACACTGTGTCCTTAGTGTAGCTTACTTTGTAGGTTCTAGTCCTCACCAACTTGCCAGGGTTCCTACAGCCACACTTGTAGTCAGGAATGTCTCCACATTATTTTAGGGCATTTTAAAGGTCTTCAGATTGTAGGCTAGTCAGGACTCCAACACAAGAAACCCTCAAAATTAATAATCAGGCATTATAATCACAAGCTCAGTTTTAAGAAAAGTTCTTCAGGTTATATTTGACGTGCTAGCTGCTAGAAAGATCGGAGGATAGCCATAGATTTAAGTGGGCTTGCCAACAGCTTTATTTTAGAATGGAGCTAAGTAGGTATAAATGTCTTCCCAGAAACTGGTGTGTTTTGCCCAGGGAAAAGGTCTCAAAGAATTTTCATTTATTTAATTTTTGTTTTCTTTTTTGAAAAACAGGCTTTGATGTTAATTCCTCATTTATAAAATGTAAAACAAATTAGAATGTGCTGGGAGTGGGAGCTGGGATTAACATCAAATGTTTTCCAGGGCTAATACATTGAAAACTGGTTCATCTAGAGTACCCTGAGTGGTTTTCAATGGCATGGCTAGTCAAATTCATGATTTTTAATTATAGGGGTATATTGGAGCATTTATTATATACTTAATATTGGCCTTCATTTTGTAAATATGGAGATGATTGTGGGGCTTGAAAAAAAGTTACCTTTGGAATTTTAAAAGACAGTCCACTTTTTTCAGCATGTGTGTTGTTTCCAGCCTGTGGTTGTCTTAACTAATAAAGGTGGTTTTCTCCCCCTTCCCCCAAAAAGATAGTGAGAATATATTCTCAGAGAGAAAAACATTAGAAGAACACAAACTTCAGAAAACAAACTACATGACCATACAACTCTAAGCCTTCTTTCCATGAGACGGCTCTATTTTAAGTATGGCTTTCGTCTTTCCTGATTGCTGCCAGGGCTTCCAGGTACTGTGGAAACTGGAATATTTAATTCTGCAGGGGATAATTAAGTTCACTGGCCCAATTTGTCTGAGCCTGGATTTATATATCAACTGAAAACTAATTTTATACTCATTTCCATCACAGACAAATGCCTCTGTGATATTCACCAAAGTCAAATTGACACCTCTGCTCCCAAGTGAGCTGATGTATTGCATTAGCATCTCCTAATGTCATTAGTGCTCACTGGCAGGCTGATGACAGCAACATGTTTCAATTTTGTAGGAATGGAAAGGACAGGAACCTTTTCTACCCTTTTATTTGATAACCTTTACTCTTTCCATAGGGCCACAAGAATGTCCTTTCTTCCTCAGTTGGAGCTTTCCTTTCTCTATTCCCTCTGTTCATTGATAGGGAAAGTGCTGGTTCTTGATTCTCTTAAATCTAGCATATAATATGTTCATCTTTCTTTATGACTTTTGTCATCGTTATTTTTCCTAGCTAGTACTAGGCTGGAGTCAAAGTCATTGGACTGTCAGGATCTGTGGTTAACATGGAAAATGAAGCAGCAGCCCTGGGTATTGTTTCTTCCCATAAACCCTCATTTTGTTCCACACTACACCAACCCTGCTCTATGTTCATAACACCATTCCACTTCTTTACATTTTGATTTTTCAAACATCATAGATAGATCATTAGGATACTAACTGAAATCAAGCATGATTTCCTTTCCAATTACTATAGAAACACTCTGGAGAACTTCCTTCACCCGGTGCCTCTTCCCCCGTTACATTCAGGAACTCTCCAAGTGGAGAGTTTGGTCTCCCTTTTAATTTATTTGATTCATTATTAGGGTAATTGTAACATTAAGTGTTTGTGAAAAATAAAGGACACAAAGAATTACAAACTGTGTTTATGTTATACCTATATCTCCAAAAGTATTCTATGTTTTTGCTTTATGTATATGATGAACACATATAAAGTAAACACCTGTGACCATATCTGAGCCTCCGAGGTATTAGAGGCATTACAGAAATTACTTAGGTATAACTCCATCCTCAAAAAGCCCACATTTTCTCTTGAAGTAAGGTTTTTATAATTTTACTTAATTATGGTTGTGTTTCAAGGTCTAAATGCGATTACCGAGCACATGTGTGTGTTTAACTACATGTAGTGATCATGCATTAGTGTTTCCAGTACAAACACGCTTGCTCATTTTAGCAGCTGTTCTTACTCTCATTGGTGAACAAGAGAGGGTTCCTGTGCATGTTTCCTGAGTGTGTTTCTAGACTAGAATTGCTCTTTTATATAATATACATATCTTTTTGCATAATATAATCCATTTTTTATTACTGTAATTTTAAATAGCTTGCTTCACGTATCAATCCCAGTTCCCTCTCCCTCCTTCCCTCCCGCACTGCCCCACCATCCCCCCCAGCCTCCCACCCTATCCCCACTTCCTTCCCCATAGGGGAAATCCAGAGTCTATCATTTTGCTCAGGTCAGGGTCCAGGCCCTCCCCTAAGAGTCCAGGCTGAGAGATCATCTCTCTTTGTGTTAAGGACACACCAAATCCAAGGGATAAATACCAATCTACTGCCCAGGGCCCCATAGGTTCCCCAGACCTCCTTACTGACTCTCACACTCAGGGGGTCTGGATCAGTCCCATGCTGGCCTCCCAGCTGTCAGTCTGGGGTCCAAGAGCTCCCCCTTGTTCAGATCAGCTGTCTCTGATGGTTTTGCCAGCCCATTCTTTCCCAATTTGCTCATCGCTCCTCTCTCTCTGTCACTGGGTTCCATGGATTCAGTTCAGTGTTTAATTGTGGGTGTTTGCCTCTGTTTCCATCAGTCACTGGATGAAGGTTCTAGGATGGCATATAAGGTAGATGTCAAATTCTTTTTCAGGAGTGGGCTTTTAAGGTAGTCTCTCCACTATTGCTTAGCTTGCCAGTTGGTGTCATTCTTTTAGATCGCTAAAGGTCTGCGGGGGGGGGAGTATAGGAGCTAGGAAGAAGAGAGGGGAGAAGAGGAGGAGAGAGTAGGTCATGGGGGAACAGGAAGGTTGAGTGGGAGGTAGAATAGGGGGAGAACAAGATGAGAAATACCATAATAGAGGGAGTTGTAGGTTTGAATATATATATATATATCTTAAAGTGTTTTTGCTATTGGTTTTTATGAATTTGCAATTCATTCAACAGCCTATGAAAGTCACTATTCTAAATCCTCACTAAATGAATTATTGTCCCCGTCTATTAATTATTGCAATCCAAGAGTTTATGAAAACTGAAGACTGTATTAATGATCATGGACTTCCTCTGTCTCTGTAAAAGCAAACCCTATGAGTTTAAGGGTTGTAAAGCCATGTGATAGACTGAATGGTGGTCCCATTTGGGTTTTATTCAGAAGAATCTCAAAATGAGGTTCCGTGCATTACCGTGGGCATTAAAGTCAATGACAAGGGATTTATAAGACATGAGAAGGGGACAGTATGCACAGAAGTCCATGTGAAAACAGAGACCAGAATTTTACAGCCTCAAGCCAAGAACATTTGGAACTCCCTAGTGAAGAAGGATTCCTTGCAAGAGCCTGCAAATGAAATGTAATCCTACCAACATGTTCATTTTGGATTTCAGATTCAGAGCTATAAGAGACAAAAACTTCTGCTATTTTAAGCAGCCAAGTCAATGATAATTTATGATGGTAGACTTATACTAATACAGCTGATTCATGTCTGTGAAGTGTGGCACATCTCGGCCTGGTGATTTTATTGTAAGACAATATGATTTCTTTCTTTATTCTATGTTCTAGTATCAGAATTATTGTCCTATGTGATAAAATATACTTCATTACTTTGTGTAACTAAATATGGGAAACAGTGTAGAACAATCAAGTAGATTTGGGGGCGGTGCATGAGCATTGATGTGCAGGTGCTTATGAAGAAAAGAGTGTGTGCAGGTACATGTGAAGACCAATGTGTGTGTGTGTGTGTGTGTGTGTGTGTGTATGTGTGTGTGTGTGTATGTGTGTGTGTGTGTGTACACATGTGCATGGGTGTGTAGGTGCATGTGAAAACCAGAGGGATAAAGGGTGTAGACATGTGCATTGGTGTGCAAGAGCATATAAAGATGAGAGTATGTGCAGGTACATGTGAAGACCTGTGTGTATGTGTAGGCATGTGCATGGGGTGTGCAGGTGCATGTGAAAACCAGAGAGAGGGACGGACACAGAGACAGAGGCAGAGATGAGACAGAGACGGAGACAGGGACGGGGACAGAGACAGAGAAAGGGTATAGACATGTGCATGGGTGTGAAGGTGCATGTGAAGACCAGAGGTCAACATCAGGTTTTTTCCTGTATAGCTCTCCACTTTGTGTTTTGAGACAAGATTTTTCATTAAACATGGAGCCTGCTGTTTCTACTAGACTTGTTGCTCAACAGGCCCCTGTAGTGAGATATCTACCCTACCTGCATCTATAGCGCTGATCATGCCTATTTCGGCATGGTCACAGGTGAGGACATGATGGGGAGTGAGTTTAGGTCAAGGCTCCACACAGGCTGCTACCTGTGACCCAACCAGATGCAAGAAATATCTACTGCTCAGACCCCAGACCTATATACATATATATAACTATATATATAAATATAATTCTCAATAACAGAGATATATCTGAAATGTCTGGACTAGAAGTAGAATTGTGAAGTGAAATATGATAAAATATCCTAAGTTGTATCAATATACAAAATGTAAGTTGTATCAATATACAAAATAAGATAGTTTTGTAATTGTGTGAAAAACATAGCAAACAGGAAGAAGACCCTACATAGTCAACATACAATAATTTAACAATTTATCTATAGCTAACAGTTGCTAATGTTAGTTCACTAAAAAGTATGTAAATCTATATCCCATCCTAACCATACCTTTCCCATCAATACC